TGAGCTACCCATCATGAACTGGGTGTTGTATGACCTACAGACTCATAAAGTTGGACATGCACAGCAGCACTCCATCATTAAATGGAAGTAGTATAACAGGGATCGGGCTTGAGCAGAAACTGAAGGCACAAGTAAGTTGCATGAGGAAGTGGTACAAATGCCTATGGTCTCCACTCCAGTCACATCACCCTCCCTCTCCCAGTCTGCACCTATGGCCTCATGGGGATTTCCTTATGATCAGCTGAATGAGGTAGAGAAAACTTGTGCTGTTTTACAGATGGTTCTGCACGATATGCAGGCACCACTCAAAAGTGGACAGCAGCAGCACTATAGCTCCTTTCTGGGACTTCCTTGAATGACAGTGGTGAAGGGAAATCCTCCCAATGGGCAGAACTTCGAGCCGTGCATATGGCTGTTCACTTTGCATGGAATAAGAAATGACCAGATGTATGATTATATACGGATTCAGGGGTTATGTCTAATAGCTTGGCTGGATGGCCTGGGACTTGGAAGGAGCATGATTGGAAAATTGGTGACAAAGATGTATGGGGAAGAGATATGTGAATAGAGGTCTCTGAATGGGCCAAAGGAATGTATAGGTATTTGTGTCTCATGTGAATGCCCAACAAAAGGTGACCTCAGCAGAAGACAACTTTAACAATCAGGTGGATAGGATGACACATTCAGTGGAAACCAGCCATCTTTTTTCCCCCAGCTACTCCTGTAGTGCTCAATGGGCTCATGAACAAAGTAGCCATGGTGGCAGGGATGGAGGTTATGCATGGGGTCAGCAACATGCACTCCCACTTACCAAGGCTAATTTGGCTACCACCACTGCTGAGTGCCCACTCTGTCAGCAGCAGAGACCAACACTGAATCCACAATATGGAACCATTCCTCGGGTGATCAGCCAGCAACATGTTGGCAGGTTGATTACATTGGACCAGTTATATCATGGAAAGGGCAGCGTTCTGTTTTCACTGGAATAGATACTTATTCTGGATATGGATTCACCTTCTCTGCAGGCAATGCTTCTGCCAAAACTACCATCCATGGACTTATAGAATGCCTTATCCACTGTCATGATATCCCACACAGCATTGCTTCAGATCAAGGGACTCACTTCATAGCAAATGAAGTGCGGCAATGGGCCTATACTCATGGAATTCACTGGTATTACCATGTTCTCCATCATCCAGAAGCAGCTGGCTTGATAGAACGATGGAACGGCCTACTGAAAACACAATTACGGCACCAGCTAGGTGGCAATATCTTGAAGGGTTGGGGCAATGTTCTCCAGGAGGCTGTATATGCTCTAAACCAGCATCCAATACATGGTTCTGTTCCTCCAATAGCCAGGATTCATGGGTCCAGGAACCAAAGGGTGGAAACAGGAGTAGTACCACTCACTATTACCCCTAGTGACCCACTCAAAACATTTTTGCTTCCTGTCCCTGCTACCCTATTCTCTGCAGGTCTGGAAATCTTAGTTCCAAAGGGAGGAACACTCCCAGCTGGAAACATAATACTGATTGCATTGAACTGGAAATTAAGAATGCCACCTGGCCATTTTGGTTTCCTCATGCCTCTGGATCAACAGACAAAGAAGGGCATTATTGTACTATCTGGTGTGACAGATCCTGATTACCGAGGGGAAATTGGATTGGCTTTACATAATAGAGGTAAAGAAGAATATGTCTGGAATACAGGAGATTCTTTAGGACGTCTCTTAGTACTACCATGCCCTGTGATTAAAGTCAATGGAAAATTACAACAACCCAATTCTGATATGACTGCTAATGGCCTAGACTCTTCAGGAATGAAGGTTTCAGTGAACCCACCCGGCAAAGAACCATGACCAGCTGAGGTGCTTGCTGAAGGCAAGGGAAATACAGAATGGGTGGTGGAAGAAGTTCTGAATATAAGCTACAACCACATGACCAGCTGCAGAAACAAGGACTGTGATTATTATATTTCTTCATTGTATATGTGCATCAAATATTTTTGTTTTCTTCTGTTATGAACTTTGAAATGTAAATAAGGTTAATGCACTTCAGTTGTACATGTGTTAGCAAATCATGTTAGGTGCAAATTTGACTTTATAATTGTCCTTATTTAGAGATTACACATGGTTAAGAAGACATGTACAACTGCCAAGTTGACAAGGGATAGACTGTGATAGCAGGAGCTGTGTGCCAACTTGGCCCACAATTCTGTGTGGTTTAAGCAGTTGTGTTGTGGTTATTCCCACGATGGGATCAGATGAATATGTTTTGAGCAGCCAATCTGATGAAAGGGAGTTTCCCTAGGGGTATGGCCTGCTTCCAGTATATTTATGGACATCCTGGGAAAAGAAACATTCTTCTGTGCATTGGGATCCTGTTGTGCTGCCTACAACTGTCTGTGAGCAAACAATCCACCATTCGGCCTGGAGATCTTGGACTTGTCATTTGTTGGAGTCAACAACCAGTATACTGCCTGCCAACCTTGAGCTCCTCAGCCTCGCAGCTCCAAGGGTCGGGAAAAGCCTCCAGCTTGACGTTTGATCCAAGAACTTTGGACATGCCGGCTTCTATGAGTGTGTGAGCCATTTTCCTAAGATAAATTTCTCTCTCTCTCTCTATCTCTCTCTCTCTCTCTCTCTCTCTCTCTATATATATATATAAGCTTTACTGGTTTTGTTTCTCTAGAGAATCCAGTCTAACACACTCAACATCTCCAAAAAATAAGAAAAAGAACAGCAAAAAAAGCCTAAAGTGAAGGAAATAATTGATTATAGCAGAAATAAATGAAAATAGAAAAATAGTAAAAAGAATAAACAAGATTAGAAATTGGTTCTTCAAAAGGATTAATAAACGTCACAAACCATTTGCAAATTTAACAAATGAAGGAGATGACACAAAACACAGGAATTAAGAAATGAAATAGACAATGTCACAACAGAACCTACTAAAATATATAGGGTAATTAATTATTTCATAGAATTCTATGAAGAACTGTACTCCAAATTAGAATATCTGGAGGAAATGGACAAATTTTTAGAAACACACTACCTACCCACTTATCCAAACTAAGATAACCAGAGGCAGAAAATATGAACAGATTATCACAAAAGAAGAAACTGAGCAGGTCATTAAAAAAAAAAAAAAAATCCCATGAAAAACAGTCTTGGCCCAGATAATTTCACTGGGAATTCTACCAAACATTCAGAGAACATCTGACAGCAATTCCACTCAAACTATTCCAGAACACAGAAAAGAATGGAATACTCCCAAATTCATTCTATGCAGCAAGCGTAACCCTGACACAAAAACCAGGAAAAGACATAACTAAAAAACAAAATTATAGACCAATATCCCTCATGAACACTGACGCAAAAATTCTCGAATTGCTAGCCAACAGTATCTAACAATATATCAAAAAAATAATACATGACCAAGTGAGATTCATACCAGCTATGACATGAAGGTTCAACATTAGACAAACATTCAATGTAATCCACCACATAAATAAAACAAAGGAAAAAAAAAATACAATTGTATCAATTGATGCAGAAAAGGCATTTGACAAAAATCTCACACTCATTCTTGATAATAACGCTTGGCACAACTGGAATAAAAGGGAAAATGCTCAACATAATTAAGGGCATATACCAAAATCAACAGACAACCTTATCCTCAATGGAGAGAGACTGAAAACATATCCTTTGTGAACAGAAACACAAGGATGCCCTTATGACTCCTACTGGTATCTACCCTCTTCTGCCTTACTACCAAAACCTCAATTTTATTTGGGCAGCATCATAGCTAATTAGAATGTCTTCATTTCCCTGAAGTCTCTTTATAGGAGGTGACCTTACGTGACAGCTTCTGGTGGAACAGAAGAACCTAGGAAGAGCATTTGTTCCCAAATGAAAGGCAAAATTCATTTGAGAAAATCTTTAGCACCTTCACTTATCCCAAAAACTTGGCCTGTACATCCGACTATCACCTCATAACCATGGGAACAAACAAACCATACACTAAGGGTATCAAAATTCAAAGCCACTCCATTGAGTTGACTCCAACTCATAGCAACCCTATAGGACAGAGGAGAACTGCCCCATAGGGATTCCAAGGCTATAAATCTTAATGAAAGCTGACTGTCTTACCTTTCTTCCATGGTGTGGCTCGTGGGTTCAAACTGCCAACTTTACAGTTAGCAGTCTAATGCTTTAACCACTGTGCCACCTCAGCTCCTGCATTAAGAGTAGCGATGCTGAATGCACAAACTGTCTGAGTCCTGAATTTCTTGTTGCAGGATGTAAATTCAACCCCACCTGTTCAAATACTCAATTGCAGTTCCTACCATTTGTAGCTAAAAGTCTTCCTAAGTCACAAAGTAAGAATGTCATAGCCTGAATTGTTATTATTAGGTTCCCTCAAGTCAATTTCAAGTGACAGCAACTCCATGTGACAGAGCATAACTGCCTCATAAAATTTTCCAAGGCTATAGTCTTTATGAGAGCAGTTAACAGGTGTCTCTCCCACGGAACCACTGGGTACATTCTAACTGTCAACCTTTCAGTTAGCAACTGAGTGCTTAACTATTACACCACCAGGGCTCCCTTAGCTTGAAGTAGTACAGTTCTTATGTCATGGGCTGTAAAAGCATTTCACAAGTCAGGGTTTTTTCTTTTTTCAAAATCCTAAAATATGAGCCTAAGCTAATCTAATGGGTTCTGCCATAAGTGAGCCCAAGAAGAACACACATGAAATTTAATAACTTCCAATAAAAGGGCAGGAAAAATAAGGTAGATGGAGAAACAAATTAGAGACAGATATCTCAAAAAGTTATTTTCACATTGTTTTAATGTTTTTTAACCATGCGACTCGATGGCACATAACGAGAACAACAACTCAAACTATGTAAAAAACTTTTTAAAATTAAAGCAAATATATCAATGAAGGGTGTATCAGCCTTATACTGTCTCTGTCATGAAATCAATAAAAATACATTACCCTCCTCGGGCCTAGGGGATAATTCGAGGTGCTTTTCTGTAATAGTCTTCTTTTCAGCTGTTAATATCTATAAGCAAAAGATAATAAGATATTTCTTTAAGTGGCAATGACTAAAAGCCAGTAATATTTTATAAAATATCCACAAAACTTAATTTAACATATACCTTAACATATTCCTGTTTTCCTTTACTTATGTTTACCAATTTAAGTATCCCCAATGCAACTATCCTTATATATTTATGTTCATTTTTATGTTTCTTGAGATTCTCAAAAGCTAAATAATCAAAACTTCTTCACATCAACATTCAATATTATTAATTGTTCATAAGTATGACTCTGACCACCTGTGGGGTCTTCATTACCATCTGTACCCAATAAATCTTTATAGTTTATAATAACACTCTCTGTGTTATAAATATTTTCAAAGTTACTGGATATATAAAAAGTAATCAGAATATCTCAATTGGCAAAACATTCTGAATATATAAAATTTCAAAAATAGCCTTCTTATGAAAAGTAGTATGCTCAACAGTTTGATCTTCTAAGAATATTCCCATTGTGTATCCTACATTTACAAACAAAGAAATACAAAGATTCTGCATGGCATAAAGAAATGAATACTAAGTTGCCACAATTATTAAAGGAATTCTAAGAATGAGAAAGAAAAAAAGTAATACACCAATTACAAAAACCAAAAAACCAAACTCCCTGCTGTTGAGTCAGATCCAACTCATAGTGACTCCTCCTTGGATTTCTGAGGCGGTATCACTACAGAAGTACATTATCCAACCTTCCTTCCGAGGAGTGGCTGGTGGGTTTGAACTGCCAGCCTTCTGGTTAGCAGTCAAATGCCTTAGGCACCATGCCACCAAAGCACCAATTACAGTAGTCTAAAATAAAATAAGGAGGAGCTCTGGTAGCATAGTGCCTAAGGCACTTGACTGCTAACCAGAAGGCTGGTGGTTCAAACCCACCAGCCATTCCTTGGAAGGAAGGTTGGGCAATCTACTTTCATAGTGATACTGCCTTGGAAACCCAAGGAGGGTCACTATGAGTGAAGTCCAACTCAACAGCACATAACAACAACAACAGTATAAAATAAGGTTGGGAATTCCAAACAAATATAATTAAATGATTCAGGAAATCTGGTAGAATTTATTATTTGGCATTCAGGGAAAATAACTTTACAACTACTTTACCATATTTCCAGAAGTATCCTGAAATCCTTCTCCACACATAAGCCAGGCTTCAGAGAGGGATGCAGCTGCCCCCACTGTCCTGCGACATGCCTTTCTGAATTCCTGTGGTCTTTCCCTTGGCAAGAATGAGTATTCTATATCCCAATTCCTTTTTCTCTGTTGAGAATATTTTTAAAGAGAAAGAGAAGGAAATCAACTTCATTACATTAAATTATATAATTATACATTAAATTAGCAATGGAAATCCAGGAGGACAGCAAGGTAAAGGCATAGTGCCTCTGAACGCTTGCATAAAAATAGCAAATTAAATAGCCACTGGACAGCAAACCTTAAGCACATAGCTAATTCTTAAAACCAGTTAACAAACTCCAGAATACAAGTGGATGAGGACAAACAACAACACTCCTTAACCCTGTATTATCAGCTCTATGAGGGAAGAAGTAGAGAAAAGCAATGAGCAGGCCTATGAAAAGGAGAACTATACAATGGACAGCAGACATTCACTAGAAAACAGAGCTGGCCAACTTAAGACAGGGTTAGGGCAAGGAGTCAATCCTAAGAAGACCCAAAGGGTGAGAGCAATATATAAGGCTTTAAACTGGAAAATAAGGACTTCTTTCCAAGAGAGGGCCCCATGCTGAAGAGAAGCTGCTAGGAGTGAAATCAGCTTTAACAACCCAGAGACAACAGAAACAAAAGGAAATACACAAATAAAAAAGGTCCAAACAAGTGGGGAAGGAAAACAAGAGCTAGTAATAAACAAGTGGCTATAAGGAGCTCTGGTGGTGTAGTGGATTAGGCATTTGGCTGCTGTCTGAAGGTCAGTGGTTCAAACCCACCAGCTGTTCCACAGAAGAACAATGGGGCTAGCTACTTCCATAAAAATTTACAGCCTCAGAAACCCAGTGTGGGTTACTGTGAGTCATAATTGACTAGGATGGCAGTGAGTTATTATTGCATACTACCAAAAAACAACAGAAGTTAGAAAAGCTATCTTGAATTCTGCCTCCTTCTAGAAGTTCAAAAGAACTATTATAATAGAAAAATAAGTAACAGAAATATGTAGAAGTCACACTCCTAAGTATTTATCCAAAAGAAATACAAATATGTGTCCACAAAAAGACTTGCAGAGAAATGTTCACAGCAATTTTATTCACAGTAGCCAAAACACAAATCTATTATCAGGAGAATGGTTAAACAAATTGTGGTATATTCATACAGTGAAATACTACTCTTTGATACAAAGAAACAAATTAATAATAAATTTACAAACATGGATGAATCTCACAAAATTATGTTGAGTGAAACAACTCAATAAAAAAGAGTATGCACTTCACTTACATGAGGTTCTGGAACAGGAACTAATTCAAAAAATTATAAGTGCTTTCCTCTGAAGGATGGGATGGAATGAAATGAATCACGTAAATTTTGAGGTAGATGAAAAATTTCAGTATTTGATGTTGTTGTTGTTGTTGTTGTTGTTAGGTGCCGCTGAGTCATTTCCAACTCATAGCGACCCTATGCTCAGCAGAACGAAACACCGCCTGATCCCACACCAGCTCCATGATCCTTGCTATATTTGAGCCCATCGTCGCAGCCACCATGTTGATCCATCTCGTTGAAGGCCTTCCCCTCTTTCATCGACCATCCACCTTAACCAAGCATAACATCCTTCTCCAGGGAATGGTCCTTTCTGACAACATGACCAAAGTAAGTGAGACAAAGTCTGGCCATTCTTGCTTTCAAGGAGCATTTCAGCTACACTTCCTCCAGGACAGATCTGTTAGTTGTTTGAGCATTCCAAGGTACTTTCAGTATTCTTCACCAGCACCACAACTCAAAAACATCAACTCTTCTTCGATCTTCCTTATTCACTGTCCAGCAATCACATGCCTATGAGGCAAGTGAAAATATCATGGCTTGTGTCAGGCGCACCTTAGTCTTCAAGGAGACATCCTTGCTCCTCAGCGCTTCAAAGAGTACCTTTGCAGCTGACTTCCCCAGTGCTATATGTCATCTAATGTCCTGACTGTTGCTTCCATTGGTGTCGACTGAAGAACCAAGCAAAGTAAATTCTTTGACAACCTCAATCTTTTCTCCATTTATCGTGATGCTGCTTATTGGTCCAGTTGTGAGGATTTTTGTTTTCTTTATATTGAGATGTAATCCATACTGCAGACTGTATTCTTCAATCTTCATCAGTAAGTGCCTCAACTCATCCTCACCTGTTGTTGTGTCATCAGAGTATCACAGGGTGTTAAAGATTCTTCCTCCAATCTCAATGCCACTTTCTTCTTCATATTGTCCAGCTTCTCAGATTATTTGCTCATCATATAGATTGAGTAAGTATGGTGAAAGGATACAACCCTAATGAACTCACTTCCTGATTTTAAACCATGCAGTGTTTCCTTGTTCTGTTTGAACAACAGCCTCTTGGTCAATGTACAGGTTCCTCATGAATACAATCAAGTGTTCAGGAATTCTCATTCTTCTCAATGTTATCCACAATTTGTCATGATCCACACAATCAAATACTTTTGCATAGTCAATAAAACTAGTAAACATCTTTCTTGTATTCTCTGCCTTGAACCAAGATGAATCTGACAGTACCTATGATATCTCTTGTTCCACGTCCTCTTCTGAATCCAGCTTGCACCTCTAGAAGTTCTGTCAATATACTGCTGCAACCATTTTTTAATTATCTTCAGTAAGATCTTACTTCTGTGCAATACTAATGATATTGTTCGATGAATGGGTACAAATATGGATCTCTTCCAGTCAGCTGGCCAGGTAGCTATCCTCTAAATCTCTTGGTGTAACTGAGTGAGTGCCTCCAGAGGGGGCATCCATTTGTTGAAGTATCTCAATGGGTATTCCATCAATTCCTGGAGCTTTGTTCTTCACCAATTTCCTCATTGCAGCTTCAATTTTCTCCTTCAGTGCCACTGGTTCTAGATCATATGCCACCTCCTGAAAATGGATGAAGATTAACCAGTTCTTTTTGGTACCGTGACTCTGTATATTCTTTCCAATTTCTTTTAATGTTTCCTGCATCATTCAATATTTTGCCCATAGAATCTTTCAATATTGCAACTCGAGGCTTAAACTTTTTCTTCAGTTCTTTCAGCTTGAGAAATGCCAAGTGTGTTCTTCCCTTTTGGCTTTCAACTCCAAGTCCTTGCACATTTCATTACAGTAATTGGCTTTGTCTTCTCGAGCTACTCTTTGAAATCTGTGGTTCAGCTCTTTGATCTTGTAATTTCTTCCATTTGCTTTAGCTACTCTCTGCTCAAGGGCAAGTTCCAGAGTCTCTTCTGTCATCCATTTTGGTCTTCTCTTCTTTTCTCGTCTTTTTAGTGACCTCTTGCTTTCTTCATGAAAGGGATGTAGATTACATGGATACTCTAATTCTCAAGATTGAACAACTAAGATGTGTGTACTGCAATTATGCAAATTTAACTAAAAAAAATCAGTGGGGCATGGGAAGTAGATAGAGTTATAGATGAAAGAAGTATGTCAGAATGTTTATGATTATTGAAGCGAGGTGATGAGTACATTTGGGTTCATTATACTACTCTATTTAATTTGTATATTTTTAATATTCCTATAATAAAATGTTTAAAAACCATAAGAGAAAAGGAATAGTAATAAAAGGGATATCCCATACAAAATTATTAGAAAAAGGAAAATAAGGAGCAGAATAACATTTCAAAACAGAATTAAAGCACACCAACGTCATACTCATAAAGCAGATCAATCTGTAATCTACTAAGATTTAGAAATAGTTATTTCATGTATAAAGACTAAGCCAGAAGGAATCTAAGAATAAATAGGTTTGCAAAAAAAAAAAAAAAATGTTTTACAAGAAATAGAAGGTTAAAAAGGCAGGGGGAGAAAATTTTAAAGCCCTCCCACCCACACCCATACCTACTGTCATCCAGCTACAAATAAAGGGTAAAAGAATTCAAAAGAAATACAGTATGATAAAGATTTTGTCTGAATTCAACATACAGATAACAGGAGTCCCTGAAAAAGAAAACCAAAACAATGACAACAAAAAAATACTGAAAACATAGTTCAAGGAAACGTCCTGCAGAAATCCTCAAATTTACATGAAACTGCAGTGGGACCAAATAGCCAAAACAATCTTGAAAAAGGAGAAAAAATAGGACTCATACACCCTGACTCAAACACAGTATAATGCTATAGTAATCAAAACAGTCTGGTACTGATACAATGACAGACATACAAACCAATGGCATAGAACTGAGAGTCCAGAAATAAACCCATCAATTCATTTTTGACAAAGGTACTAAGTTCATTCAAGAGGGACAGAACAGTCACTTTAATAAATGATGCTGGGAAAACTGAATTGCCACATTAAAAAAATGAACTTGGACTCACATCTTACATAATATATGAAAATTAACTCAAACTTGATCTATGTTTTTAGGTAAGAATTAAAACCATAAAACTCTAAGAACAAAACATACCAGTAATCCTTTGGGACCTGATTTTTAACAAGAGATTTAGATATGTTGCCAAAGAATAAGCAATAAAACACAAATCTGATATACTGAACTTTAAATTAAAAACTTTTGGTCAACAAAGAACTTTATCAAAAAATCTAAAAAGACAACCTACAGACTGGGAGACTAGTTGGTGGAACCACACATCTGATAAGGGTTTAATATTCAGAATACATAAAGAACTACCACAACTCAACAAAACAAAACAAAAAAAAGCAAAAATCACAATTAAACAATGGGCAAAAGACTTGACAAACATTTCACCAAAGAAGAAATACAAATGGCCAAAAAATATGTGGAAAGATATTCAATATCATTAGTCACTAAGGAAATGCAAATAAAAGCACACAATGAGATATCCCTTTACTCCCATTAAGATGGCTATGTTCATAAAAAGAGAAAACATCAGGTATGGGTAAGGATGTGGAGAAATTGGAACCTGCTTGCATTGCTGCATGGTATTGTAAAATGGTAAAACTGCTGTAGAAAATCATTTGACAGTGACTCAAAGGTAAACATAGAATCACCTTATGATCAAACAATTCCACTCCTAGGTATAGACACAAAGGAACTGAGAGTAAGAACGCAAACATATACATGCACACCAATGTACACTGCAATACATTCACAATAACCCAGAGGTGGAAACAAAAAAAAAAGTCCATCAACAGCAGAGCTCTAGTGATGTAGTAGTTAAGGCATTTGGCTGCTAACCGAAAGGTTGGTGGTTCGAACCCACCAGCCACTCTGTGGAAGACAGATAAGGAGGTCTGTTTCCATACAGATTTACAGCCTTGGAAACCCAAAGAG